GATTTGAAGACGAGTGTGAGGATCTTGAAATCGATCCGCTTGGTGATAGGAAGTCAGTATAGTATAGATAGTGGAGCCTGCATAGAACTGGGAGTATGGCGTTTAGTGCAGATGATGGGTGAGTATCCATGGCAGTTAGTGAGACAGTTATATTATATGCTGTAGTTCGTACTGCTTGAATGCAATATTTGCATGTTGGGTCTGAATTGGTCCCAGGCTTCCCAAGATTAGAGAGGGGAAAACCAGTCAGGGGTCCTGCTTCTGGTTCCTCTTTAGCACTGTCTACAGGTTGCATGTGTGGCTCCCAGCTGGGGACAGGTCAAGCTTGGCTGTACTGCCCTCTCCAGTTGAGTGACCTGTTGACACTCATTGCCAAAGCTCAAACATGAACAATGGCCATTGGGCATGATATATTGAATTATACTGAACACAACACAATGGGATCAGGTATTCCACAAGCTTCCTCCCCTCCTATACCCCTCTTGTAAGATCCGTAGAGGGCATCAGGTGCCCATAGAATCACATGCCAGCAAAGGAGGTCAGACTAAGAATAGATAGGCATAATCCAGTGGGGAGAAAAATTAGAAAAAAATAATTCGATAGGCTAAATTTTATAACTATTGAAAGGGTTCATTAATTCTGCCAGATCTTCACTAACATTTGAATAGCGGAGCTCTGGAAGGAAGTGTTCATGCAATGAGCTCTGCTCAAGTTAGTAGAGGAGATGCTGTGGGATGCAGAGTTGTCACCAACTGGAAGTTACAAGTTTACCTCCCTCTACGTAGGGCATCACCTCAACAGAGATGAGAAGAGACAATAAAGAGCAGATGATACTTCAAGTAGAGTGAACCAATACTTGTTGAACAAGAATTCCTGGAACAGGGGTCAGGTTGTGGAAAACACTTGTCTGTTGTCCTCTTCCCCTTTCACAATCCCTCCTTCTGTCCTCCTAGCAAAACAACAACAACAATTTGTACTTATATAGCACCTATCACTCAGGGTAGCGCTCCAGAGCGCTTGACAGTGGTGGAGTCTGACACCGAGCCAGGGGGAGAGGCTGGTGACTGTAAGCACAATCAGAAAGCACAATTAGGCAGGATTTGAAGGTAGGGAGTGCGGAGCAAGGGGAAGAGATTGACAGAGAGAGTTCCAGAGTTTTGAGGTGTGGAGGCTGAAGGAACGGCCACCGATGGTGGAACGGAAGGCACGAGAGACAAAGAGGAGACTGGAGCCAGCCAAGTGGAGGTAGCATCAAATCCATGAGATGTCCTTCCTTGTTGTAGTTCATCTGATAGACTCAGCTCTGGCACATAATCTACAATAAACAACTCGCCAGAAATATTCCATTCCTTGTGCAAGAAAATTAAAATAAAATCTGAAAATGTTAATATGCATCAATATATTTTAATAAATACATGTAAATGAAAAAAGTGGGGATTGTCTTGAATCTCTGATTTTTATATATATCAACATTTACCACTGAACGGAGTCCTGTCGCTCAGTGGTTAGAGCACTCACCTTGCAAGCGAGTCACCTGGGTTCAATTCCAGGCAGGGTGAAACCTTGGGCAAGTTTCCTTACTCCACACGCCTAATAATAATATCTCCAAAACAAAACAATAATAAATTGGTCATTTTCAATCCACGACTGTTTGTGAGACATTGCTGTGCGCAATTGGCTGCCGCGTTTCGCCCACAAATATACGGGCAATTCACTTTACAGTCTATTCTGTGAAGCGCTTTGAGACGTCAAGAAGACGTGAAAAGCGCTATATCAAATGCAAGGATTATTATTATTATATTATTATTATAATGTCCAACTATTCTTTGGTATAGCAGCAGCAGCTGTACATAGCCATTATTGCAGTCTCAATGTACACCAACTCCTCCAATATCTTTCTTACAAAAAATGTGACATTCAATGAAAGTATGAATAGGTTCTTTGCAACAAATAACACATTAAATAATATAATTAGCTATTAGCAGTAGCTGTTTAAACAGGTGTAGTGCTCTCCAGAGGAGTGCTAGGGAGTTCTTAATAGATGTCAAATGACTGAGCCAAAGCAAACTATTGTCTATTTCTTGTACAGTGTGGGTAAATGTAGGTTCTCTTGTTGAGAATAAAAAATGTTTTGAAGGCAAATAAAGGGTAAGCAAATGTTTACAAACGAATCTGGACTTTACGTGACTTACACATACCTCTGCTGTCAATTATTCATCATCATCATACACACACTGTATTTGGCAATGCTCCACATGCAAACACAAACACAATTGTTTACAGAATGGTTTACCTAATGTGGCACTCAAATATTAATTTACCCAAAGCACTCTACAGGAACGGCAAACATTGTTACCAACCACATACAGTACAATCTGTTGCTTGAAATTGTATTGGATGAGAAGCACATTGCAAGGCATCAGCAAGAAGTGTTCATACCACAGTGCTTTTGAACGATGCACATTTAAATCCCTCCATGGTCTTGCCCCACCCTTCCTCTGTTACCTTCTCAAACCTTAAAAACCCATCCACTTCCTCCAGTCAACACGCACCAATCTGCTTCATGTCACCCGTTCCACTATTGGCAGTTGGGCTTTCAGCCTATCTGCCTCCATTCTCTGGAACTCCATCCCAGAGTCCCTATGACTCACCCCTTCCCTTAACCACCTTCAAGGTCCATCTCAATACCTTCCTCTTTGACCACGCTTTTGGTCATCTTCCCACACTCATCCCTCCCCCTTTGCTCTCTACTCATCTTGATTCCAACCCTGGGTTGAGTGCAAAGCCTTCACTGTCCAGCGCCTTGCGACTCCTATTGTGAAAGGCACTATTTCAATGCAATTTGCTGTTATTGTTGTTATTGGATACCTGGCTAACCAAAAAGAAATACAGTACAACAGGTGTCTCCATGTAATTTATTCTTATGTTCTTTTCTTTCAAACAGGTTACCCCAAATTTCTCATGTTCTTTGATGAAGTGACACCATTGCCTTAAAATTTATGGTTGTGCAGAAGTTTGGAAAACACACTTAAATTTGATTTTTATGTGGAGAATGATTTTACCGAAGCACCGAAAAACAATTGCAGTAAGCCAACTTTCAGACTGAATGAAAGACTTCTAAAAGGCCGTATAATTTTTAAATTTAAAACAAGAGATATCTGAGGCCCAAATTCTTCTATTTCTAATAAAGATTTTTGAAGCATGTTCCTCTTATTAATTCTGAGATGAACTGCAGTTCATGGCCACTTCCTATGGTCTTTTGAACTAAATCACAAAATGTTTAACATAATAACAGTTTTTCAAGGTAACAATGGTAGAGGTAACTCCTAGCCAACAGACACAAGATTTTTGAAGCCCAGGGTCTTTTCCAGAATTTCAGTCATCGGGAGAAGAGTCAGAAGACCATTGTGAAATGTCCCTCAATCCATCTATGTACTTCATTCAACATTTGAAGCCCACTACCTGCTCCCTCGATCCCAGCCCTACACCTCTCCTTAACTCGCAGCTCCACCTCCCGCCCCTTTACTCTCAGACCTCATCAACCTCTCCTTGTCAACTGGCACCGTTCCCCCCAACCTCCCTTAAAAACAGCTGTCATCACCCCTATCATAAAAAAACCTTCCCTGAACCCATCCCTGCTGACAAACTACAACCCTATCTCCAACCTCCCTTTCCTTTCCAAGCTCCTTGAAAGAGTTGTTTCCCAGCTTCACATCTTCCTCTCCTGCCATTTCCTTCACAACTCCCCCCCCCCCCACCCAATCGGGTTTCCGTGTTGCCCACAGCAAGGAAACAGCCGGATCAAGGTGACAAATGACATTCTGTCCATCTGTGACGAGGGTTCCCTCTGTCTCCTCATCCTCCTTGACCTCTCTGTTGTCTTCGACACTGTGGACCACTCTATCCTCCTCCATCACATCTCCTTCCACTTCAACCTTCAAGGATCTGTCCTCTACTGGTTCTCATACCAGCTCCACTTTGTCTCCCCATCTCTGACCTGCTAACTCCTTAGCAACCTGTCCACTCCCTCCAGTCAGCAGGCTCCAGCCTGGCCCATGTTCTCCTGCCCGGCACACCATCTGCAGTCGGGCCTTTAGCCTCACTGCCCCCACCCTCTGGAACTCCACCCCATATTGTCTTTGTCTCGTTCTCTCCCTTGCCTCCTTCAGGGCAAGCCTCAAGACCCTCCTCTTCGTCCATGCCTTCAGCCACTCACCTATCCTCTTTTCCCTACACGCTTCCTAATACCTAATCCTTAACTGTTCAGCACCTCGGGATGTCCTCCCTCCCTGAAAGGCGCTTTACAAATGTAACTTTGTGTGATATTTTGTATTGTATTTACGGTTACTGGCTGCAATAATCTTCATTTGCAACACTTCCAGCGCCTTGGGAAGTCCTCCCGGTGTGAAAGGCGCTATACAAATGCAATTGTGTTGTTGCTGTAGATTTCATTGTGCTGTATATTCTTACAGGCAATGCAAAAATAATAATAATCCTTGCATTTGATATGACACCTTATCATGTTGTTGCGATGTCTCAAATCACTTCACAGGATATACTATAAATATGCTGTAAAGTGACACATCTCAAAGCACTTATTTTTCACTATTCCTAATCTTACAAATTGTGTCGAGGTTGTAACAGAGTTGAATAGCTCGGTCATCATTATTCTGAACCTAAAACTATTCTTTGCCCCATTTTAAGGTAACAGATCAAGCAGTATTTGAACCACATCACTCCTATGTGTATGGACATGCAGAGCAATAATGAATAACAAGTACTTCCACCATAACAAGATGTGCTGTGATTTGTATTTCTTCTTTGTTACATACACTGACACAAACTACAATACACCCCTTACATTATCACTATCCTAACAAAATTAAGCCACAGAATTGACAAGACAAATATATATAGCCAATAATTTACTTTGTTTATAAGATCTTCAAACATATCAATACAGTATATTTTAAATCGCAAATGACTTCAAGACTTCCTGTATAAAAAAAAACTTAAAATGTATATTTGTTACATTATATTTTTACAATACATCCCAAAACATTGTAATATTATTTGAAACTGAACATAAACTCTACTTGGGGATAATTTAGTCATTTTTAAGTGCTGGCAGTGCAAAATAGTTGCATAGAGAGCTTGCTGATGTGCAGCAATTAATAATGTTAAATCAATTAGATCCCACTGGTCAGTGTAGTTAGCTGATCATCCTCATTTCAGCTGGGACTCCATCGGAATTTGAAACCACCATTATGTGTCCTGGTGGTGAATGCATTGCCTTGAGGAAATGCTAATGTTCTTATTGTGCAATGGTCACGAATTGAAGTTTTAAAAGATGTGTCACTGTCCAGGTCACTGTTGCTCAAGTTTACAGTGCTGCAGGCTGTGGATGTTTGTAATCCACTGAAACTCCCATACATGTTGATGGTCTCCTTGCTTTCATTGTAACTAGTTTCTCCTGAGTTAACAGTTGCCTTGAAATGTTCATAGTCTGTACCATTAAATGTCTGCAAAGCTGCGTTGCATTTTTCTGAGATATCTCTTAAAATCTCATCCACGTTTTCACAGTCCTGGTTACCAAAGTAAGGGTCGTCAAACCTTTGGCGTTTAGTTGGAGATCTCAGGGGAAAGGTCTCAGGCAGAACTTCACTGGGAGCTTGACTTTCCTGCTTCATTACTTTCTAATTAAGGATCAAAAGTACATTCCATTAATGAGGCATCTCACTCAGAGCTGCATTACATCAGCAATACCAGTTAACAAACAATGTAGAGCTTGGTACAATGATGTGATCGGTTTGAGATAATATTATAAAGCAAAAGAGTGAAGTTTGAGTCATTTAACAACATTACTTCAATGCCAAGCTACCCTGAAATATAATCCAGGGTGTGTATAAAATATAGCCGAATATCTTTGTCCTGCACTTTGGTGTACTACAGGACCACATATAGGGTGTGTGCAGTGTGTACCCACAGTGTGCAGTTCTTTCTTGGCTTCAAGCCCATAGTGTGAGTCTCCAGATATCCCCCTAATATTCTAGAAATCACTGGTAATGCTTGTGATATAGCAGTGATGATGTCATTGGATCCTGACTCAGAAGTGCTGACCAGCAAATGGACTATAGCCTGACCCATTGTAATGTAGGGTCGACATTAATGTATATTTCTACATAAATTAAAATATGATGACTTGTTTTTTCTTGATTTTTTTACTGATAGGAACATCAGAGAGAATCATATTGCAAATTGTTTTACTAACTAATACCATAAATTCTGTGTGTCACTTATTTCGCTCAATGGAAGATATGTCAAATGGCAGAGATGGATGAATATTCTAGATTTTTAACTTGATTACCCTTAGGGATCAAGGGATATCTACACAAACTTTTCTCCCAAAAGATAGAGTGGGTGTGTGGAGTCTGCCTTACAATACGTTTTGCATTGTCTGTGGAAGGAATGATATTAATGGACCATTTGACATTTTTACATTCATGCTTTCTTCGGAGTCTTTAACTTGCATGTTTTTGGGATTAAAAATATATTGCGGCAGAGCTTCCCACATCCCCAAGAGATTGAGGTATGAAGACTAGGAAATTCACCATGGGATTGGTCTATAGATGGAGCAGCTTAATGGGTTGAATGGCCTTTTCTGAAGCTGTATGTTATGTGCAACACTAAACAAATTGTGGCTCTGATCTTTTCATGAGCTGCTGCTACTGTAGATCTCCATTGAGTCACCACACATTAAACCACTTTGTATTGTGTGGTCTACTTTGTGGTTGTCTTGTTTGAAGAGCACAGGTGCATTTTTTTCATCCTTCCTCCACAAATAGACCTGTGTTTGGTTTGTTCTGTAGTGTGAAATAACTGATGCATGTGTGATCCTGGCACTCTTATTCTGATGGTAGTGTTCTAGTTTTGTTTTCAACTTTGCCACTTCTCTCACCCTCAATCCCTCTGCCTTGCCCCCTCCATCCCTCTGTGCCCCCACCCCCACTTTCAAATCCCACCTAAACACCTTCCTTTTTGATCGTGCTTACGGTCATCTCCCTCTTCCCCAATTCAGCATCAGACTCTGCCACTGTCAAGCGCTCCGGGATGCTATCCGTGTGATTGCAACATAAATGCCCACAAATACACGGTCAATGCATTTTACAGTCTATTCTGTGAAGCGCTTTGAGACGTTGAGAAGACGTGAAAAGCACTATATCAAATGCAAGGATTATTATTTTTATAAATGCAAGTTGTTGCTGTTGTATTGTATGAGAGAGAATCAACACAACCCACCCAGGTGTACACAGTATTGTGTGAGAGACACTCTCTCTCTTTATCACACACAAACAACTGCACACACATTCTTCTATTTGCCATTGTAAACTCTGAGTTGCTGTTCGTGAATCCTGTGGTGACCTGTTGCTTCTTTGATCCAATGTTTGAATAACAACAACAAATGACATTTGTATAGCGCCTTTCACGCTGGGAGGAGATCCCAAGGTCCTGGACTGTCAGAGATTTGTCCCTGAGCTGGGGGTTGGGATCAGGAGGGATGGAGGGCAGGGAGGGCAAGGGAAGGAAGGTGACCAAAGGCATGCTCAGAGGAGGGTCTTGAGAAGTGCATTGAAGGAGGCAAAGGGTGGGGGGGGGGGGGAGGAGGTGAACACACCGTGGGATGGAGTTCCAAAGGGTGGGGACAAAGAGGCTGAAGGACCAACCGCTGATGGTGGGCAGGACAGAAAGGCTGGGGGGAGTCTGCTGAGCGGAGGGAGCAGACTGGTCTATATGGGGTTAGCAAATCACAGAGATAGGGAGGAGCAAGGCCGTGAAGGGCTTTGAAAGTGAGGACGAGGATTTTAAACTCTATCCTTTGTAGGATGGGTAGCCAGTGGAGCCGGGCAAGGATGGGGGTGATAGGGTCACAAAGCTTGGGTGGGAGAGGACACAAGCTGCAGAGTTCTGAATAATCTGCAGCTTGTGGAAGGAAGAGTTTGGAAGGCCTACAAGCAGAGTTAGCATAGCCAAACCAATAATCCACATGGGAGAATATTATGAAGTTTCCTTGATTAACATTGGAATGCGAGGACTCTGTATGCTGAAGAGATAAAGCAGGTGGGGGTGAAGTCAGCCATAAATTAGGTTTAGCATGGCCTGAGAAGGGAGAAGGCTTGACTGGCCCATTTCCTTATCTCATTTATTTTGTTTCCTTATTAATGATGTCCCTAGTGGTGAAACTATGCACTTTCCCTGACAAATGCTTCTAAAAAAACTTACATCAAGTATAGATGCCAGATGTTTAGCTTTGCTGGCAAGTTCCTTCAGCTGGATATTTCTTTCCTTCAGAGACACAATTTCATATTGTTTTCTTTCTAAAGTGACGTGCAACTGAAAAGGAAAGCACATTTCAGATTTAGCCAGTTATTTCAGATGGTAACTAATTTAATGATATCATATTGAACCGGATATCTCACTAATTGAGATCATTCCAATTGTGGATAAGAAAACAGAATGTCACACCAATTGTCACACAAAATACAATATACAGATGTAACCAAAATTTTCCTCTATCAAGTATTATACCATCACTATTGTATCACACAATACTAGCTAGCCATGTTGTTTCCCACTCGAGAGTGCCAGCCCTTTGCCATGCCCTTCTCTTCCCCCTACAGTGAAGCACAACTAGATTAATAACTGGAATTGAGTACCTGAATTATGAGGAGAAGCTATAAAGTATTTACATTATAGAAAGCTAATGGGGCATTTTTGTTGAAGTGTTCAAGATCCTAAAGGGTATGAATGAAGTGAACCTTAATAATTGGGTTGAAATTGCATTCAAATTAGGATATCTTCATTCATATTTGACATATAAGTAATGTTTTAATTCAACATTGGTGTATAAAACTCTACCATTATCTTTGTAATAGGGGAGAATTTTACAAGGTCCGTATTCGTGTAAAATAATTAGGATTTCAAATTCTTATTTTGCGCACAGCACTGTTCCACAAAGCCAGTTGGTTGTTGGGTCTCGAGAAAGGAAGTTTAGTCGTTGTTGCTTAGCAATGCTAGCCAGTCATGCTAAATATGTGAAATTTACACACACACACAAATATTTAGCAAAGACCAGCTAACTTTGATAGTAAGCATGATTTTGGTTTGACAAAATACCTGTTGAATTTGCTGTTCATTCAGATTTCGGTAATTGTTCACAATATCTATATATCTATGTCAACATTATACAATCGTCAACAATGTTACAGTGAGCATATAATAAATAATTCTTTCAACCAATATAGCGCCTACAAGATCAAAATATTTCAAAGTGTTTCACAGGTGATTGCTGTATTTGTAGGCAAATGTAGTAACTGTGTATTTTTAGGCAATTGTGAGAACCAATTAGTACCAAAGCAAAGTCCAACAAATAGCCATGAAGTGAAGAATGTATTTATCTGGATTGTCCATGAGGGCATTGGGAGAAATTCCTTTCTCTTTTTGAATGATGGGCATGGGAGTGTTAATGTTCACCTGGGCAACCAAATAGGACCTTGGTTTAATGTCTTAAATAAAGGAAAGCAACAGTCCTTGCATTTGATGCAGCACCTTTCATATCAGGAGGACTTCTTAAAGCATTTTATGCTATTTAATGTAAAGTGTGGTGACTGTAGTGACTGTGCATTTTAAAGGTGACAGATGCAGGGGGGTGTTAGTCTGGTCTATGAGCTCGATTCTCAACATGGGGGTTGAACCCAAATCATCTGATCCAGAGGTGCAGAGTGCTCACCAACTGAGCCAATCTGACATTATCTACAAGAGAGGAGGAAATGCCTTCATCTTTCTTACTTGTTCATTTTCTTCCAGCGCGTCCCCCAGTGCTTTCTGATTTTCTTCTGCCACATCTTTCCAGAACTGCTCTGGCGGCTGCGTGTGGTCCGTCTGCAGATTCATCTGCATCAGAGGGTCGTCGGTGTCAGGGATTGAGGTAGAAATACAGGCTTCAAAATCAGCCACACAGCAGTCAGAGAGCGGCAGCTCCGACACGGCCAGGGGCAGGGGGTGCATCAAATAGGTGGGGTCTGTGGGCAGAAGATACAGGTGTGGTGTCTCTCATTTGGTTTTAACACGAGGAAGAAAACTCGGGGCTCTGTGCAATTACTGTCAGTGTTCGTTACCTTTTTAGGCTAATGAATGTAGCGTTGGGGGGCAGCGAGGAGCATCGATGGCACCTGTTGCAGGTGGGACAGAGGTGGTGGTGTTTTGGTTGGCTGTCAGCAAACCTTCGGCAGGAATGTTACTGACTGAGTGAACACCTCACCGACAGACACAGAGATGTGACCTGAAGGTTCCCGTGTAATTGCATTCGCCACAGTTCACTGTCTCCAGTTCACTGTCTCGCTGCGTATTTTGCGAGGAAAAGCCTCACAGAGAGATTCTCAATCGCTCCGTTTGCTGTGCGAGAGCAACACGTTACGCGCTGTGTTCATCCGACTCCGCTGTCTCTCGGTGTGTGTTCAATAAAACGTGTCGTTGGAGCAGACGGTGCCCGTGAGAAAATAGCGATTGAAATTGAAGTGTGATCGTGAATTGCTTTCGCAAATCGTCCAAACTTAGGGAAGAGTGTTGCAACACAGCTACACATCGCAAGGACAGACACTTGCAGCAGGAGGTAGGGAGGATTTTAAGCAACTGCTTTCTTAAAACACGTTTCACCGATTGGGTTTTGTTTTGTTTCCAGTGGCAACGACTGATGGAACACGTCTGTGGGTTACAGACACCCACTTACTTACTGCTCTGCAACGACGTGTGTGACATTGGACCCGAACGAAATCACGCAGACTTACCACACATGAGAATATCAACATCTTCGAAATCCTGCAGGTCAAAATCAGGTGTTTCGTGCAGGGATTGGCTCTGCAACAACAACAACAACAACAACAACAACAACAAAAGTAAATAATGGAACTCGTAGCATCAAAATATTACATTTATCGAAATCTTGCACCGACTCTGCGTAATGATGACAGAGGACAATTTCTCTGTGCGATCCGCAATCGATACCGGATTTGCATAACAGCCCTGTCGGCGTGTGCATGTGTCGTGCATATACCTAACGACATACGCAAAGATTAATTGCATTGCATAAAAAAAAAAGAGAACAGGTACATACCCGGAATTCAAAGCCCCATTGAGGAAACTGCATGTAACAAGTCTGGAGTGCCATTGATAGAGCTGTCGAGGTGGAGAGCCTGTGGTTTGCCTACAGAGGGGACTATCGCTGCTTTGGGAGTAACAGACTGTTTTGGTGTTTGCTTTGCTTCTTCGAGTCAACGTGGCAGCGATCAAACTGCCCGGTTGGGGAGAATAGCAACGGTTTTCTGAACCCAACAAAAAAAAACGCTTACACTGCCCCTGGAGGGTGAGGGAGAGACGCGTGAGAGTGCGTAAGTGTCCGAGGTGTCTGACCCTCAAGGGGATGTGGGTGGATGTTGGTGGCGACCTGCGCTGGTACCCAGTGCCCCACTCTTGACTCCGGGCTTCAATAAACCCGGGGCTGTGTGTGTGTGAGATCTGCTCTATCGTCTCCTGGTCTCTGTCGGGAGTTTGCTGCTGAGCTGAGCTGAGCTGAGCTGAGCTGAGGGGGTGGTTGGCACGCGTTACGCGAACTGCCACTCGTTCCGCATGAGCCTCCGCACAGACAACTTGGCTGCTCCTCTACCCGGGGGCGGCCACACAGCCAACCACAGGGCACCTGCTCCTCCTCGCAAATACCTTCACACTAAAGCAAACACTTCCAGAGATCAGCCCGGCCTCTCCCCCTCAGGCTCAGGCTTGGCACTCACTCCAGGCAAACCTTTCTGCCACACCCTCCTGTCCGCCCAGATTTACGTAATGCCAATCTTCCAAAGAAGCCCCAACACCCACAGCTCAGACACCACCCACCCGGTTTATTATTGACCTGCTGCAGTTCTTGTCCGACAACTTGTGATTCATTTGCATCCCCGCAGAAACCCCAATCCATTCCGCCTTTCCACCTTCCGCAGAAGCCAACAGCCCGACACGCACGAGCCCGGAGATTACAATGTGTAGTGCAATCACCTGAGTTTAGTATAAGACTGAGAATAATGATCCTTGCATTTGATATGGCGCCTAATCACATCGTCGAGATGTCTCAAAGCGCTTGACAGAATATACTGTAAAGTGAATTGACTGTGCATTTTGTGGGTGAAACGGGGCAACCAATTGCACACAGCAGTGTCCCGCAAACAGTCGTGGATTGAGTGATCAAATTATTATTATTATTACTATTATTAATAGTGCAAATTGTGGAGTACCATGGATCTGACGGTTCTTGATCCGGACAGGTCTGCAGTCTATTCTACAGCACTGCTTGACGGCCAGCCTGCCTCAGCGGTAGTAGTTGGAGGGACAGTTATTCTGGGTAGGAATTCTTCCCACTCATCTCCTGTTAACCCTGGAATCAAAGCCCTAATGGGTAGAGTTATTCTAGATGTACCCTTGACTCCAGGACCACTGACAGAATGTCTGTCAGACATCAAGTCCTGGATGAGAGCTAATTTTCGTCAGTTGGACGTTAACAAGACCGAGGTCCTCCTGGTAGGGTCCTGTCAGCGCCTCCACACTTCAGGCACTGACAGTATCACCATCCGAGGAAGCACACTCCACCTTGCTAAGCCAGTCCAGAACCTTGGCATCGTGTTTGACCCTCAACTATCCATTCTACCCCACATCTGAGCCATGCGCCGCTCTGCCTTGCCCCACCTCTGCAACATCGCCCGGCTCCACCACTGTCTCACACCCCAGGCCGCTGAAACCCTCATATAAGCATTCATAACATGCAAGCTTGACTATGAAAACGCCCTGATTGTCTCCCCAACTCCTCTCTACATAGGCTGCAGATATTCCAGAACTCTGCAGCCCATGTCCTCTCCCGCACCAGGTTCCATGACCCTATCACCCCCATCCTCGTGCGACTCTACTGGCTTCCCATCACACAGAGGATACAGTTCAAGATCCTGGTCCTCACCCTCAAAGCCCTCCAATGCCTTGCTCCCCCCTACCTCTGTGACCTCCTAACCCCCTAACAACCTGCCCACTCCCTCCACTCAGTGGGCTCCAGCCTGCTTCACGTTCACCACCTCACCATTGGTGGATGGGCCTTCAGCCCTCTGCTCCCACCCTCTGGAACACCATCGCAGAGTCCCTCTGCCTCACCCCCTCCCTTCAAGATCCATCTCAAGACCCTCCTCTTCGATCATGCCTTCGATCACCCTCCTTCCCCCCCTGCCCTCCATCCTGCCCGATTCTGACCCCCAGCTCGGGTCCAAAGCATTGATTGTCCAGCGCCTTGGGATGTCCTCCCGACGTAAAAGGCGCTATACAAATGTTATTCTGTTTTTTGTTGTTGTATAAACAGAAGGAAGCCCTCGAGTCAGTGTTCTCAATGACAAGCCATTAGTGGTGCCACCTTCCCATCGCTCTGCACCCTGCCTCATACCCCTCACTCTGGTTCTCTTCCTCTCGTTCTCTGCGTTGCCTCTCACGAAGTTACATGTGGCACAGGGCGATGCACAGAGCAATGGGAAGAGATCTGGAGCAGGAGGTAAAAGTGCCAAACATACACCTAAAATCTAGGGGCAGGGGGTGGAAGCAGTTCATCCTGTACCCCCATTACCTCCGCTTTCAAGTGCTCTGGAACACTAACCTGTGTGAGGTATGCTATATAAATGCAAGTTGTTGTTGTAAATACGAAACATAAAATATTTATCTCACTCTTTTGAGGTGACTTTAGGAGTTAAGCTACTTACCCTGCGTATGTTGTACATATCTTTAGCAACAGGTGAACCATTCCCAAGACAGAAGGACTGGTATGTGGGAGTGGGTTGCAGTATCAAAGCCCCACAGCACTATCAGCGTTTTGTACGGACTTCGCTGTAATATTAAACTCACTCGGGGATTTCAAAGCTAACCCCTGCCCTTGTGTATTCTGCCATGGAATTTTTCAGGCTGCTTTTAGGTACCGTATCAGCATGAATGGAATTAACTGCATGATCAAAGATGCTTTTGTAGGTGGAGTTTGACTGGGGCTTGAAGTGGCTAAGCACACCCCCCCCCACCTCACCTCACCCCTCACCCCCAAAAATTCACCGTGTCTTGGATCTGCAGGGTTTCCTTTGCCCTGAGCACTGACACAAATCCAACAACCGCCTGTTGCTGTTGCTGTGTTTGTGCAGTGAACTGGGTGGAGCGTGTGTGTACAAGGGTGAGGTGATGCCTGGAGACAACAACAACAACTTGCATTTATATAACGCTCTTCATGTGGGGTGGCGTCCCAGAGCGCTTCTGTAAAGTAAATTGACTGTACATTTTGTGGGTGAAACGTGGAGGCCTGCAGTCCCCACAAACAGACCAGATATTTTGCTGTATGACTGGTTCCTTTGCTGAAAAATGCTGAAAATCCATGAGCAGCCGCAGATTCCCACCCGGGTACTGCCGCTGGAACCACTGAGGCCTCCAGTGCCCCCCAAGACTCATTGCCTGATTTTTTTTCTGCCCCTCCCCACCCCCCACACCATTCTCATTTCAGTGCCCCCTCCTCCCCCCATGTAACAGTCAAACTCTGCCCATTGGTACTTTCATTGTTCGTTACAAAGTAATCCCAGTGTTTGTCTTGTGAAGTACAGTATAAAGGTGTACAATGGCAGTTAAAGTGGAATATTTGTCAATGCAATTTAAGGAGCCTATCTTCCTAATGTAAATGATTGATGCAGGTCTGTGTTCTAATAGTTGCTATAGGAGCGCTTGCAGTTTTCACTGGTGTCTTAATCCCTGTATCCAGATCTGAAGTACTTTAACCATTTAAATGCTGATCTTTCTTCTCAGCTTCCAGATTGCACAATATGTTGAACAACTCTTCCAATGAACAGTAATCCCACCTGTCTGTTCAGGTAACATTATAATTCATCATTTTGTTCACCTCCATCAGGTCCAGGAATAGATTTGGAGTCAAAAGATTGGGTGGGGTGAGGGGGGTTCGAGATCAGGATTTGGCCAACTTGGCTCCACCCCTCTACCTCCTCCCAACATGGCTGTAATTGGCGGATCTCCATGGCCTAATGTGCTCCTCCCTACCTCTATCTCCATACTGACCTGTCCGCTCCCTCCGCTCAGCTTGGGTGCAAATCCTTGACTGTCCAGCACTTTAGCATGCTCTCCCGAAGTGAAAGGCACTAAACAAATTTAAGTTGTTGTTTCTGATGGGTATGTAGACATCTGACTGACCAAACAAATAATATAAATTATTGCTGCTGTTGTTGAAAGTGGGTGGGTTAAACCACTCATAGTAGCAATAAGCAAAGTCAAATTATTGTTTGAACTAAACTATTTAGGATCTATCTCTCAGAGAGTTTAAGACTGAAATTTAATCTTTAGTTTCTACTGATGTTAACAGCTCATAACATTTTGTGCACAGTCCACAATACCAGGAGAGTATTTTGATTGAATTATAAATTGTATCTCATTGCCAGCTACAATTACCTTGTGGGTACTCCCGTGGTCTCATTGAGCATTTAAATAATACCACAAGAGTAATCTGTTTGTAAATAATTAGTTCTAATTAATTTATTTATCTGTAATGAGGACTATTTGAGATGTCCTACAATGTGAAAAGTGTTACATAAATGTAAGATATTATTGTTGTTGTTGCATTATAGCTGCAACATTCATTTTAATTTTTTTTACTATTTAATGTTACTTAAAAAAATTAGTCACTTCATAAATCCATGACTGTTAGTAGGACGCTGCTGTGTGCAATTGGCTGCCTCATTTCACCCACAAAACACACATTCAGTGAACTTTACAGTATATCCTGTGAAACACATTGAGATGTCTCAATGACATGATAAGGTGCTATATGAAATGCAAGTATTATTATTATTTATATAGCACCTTCATGTCAGTGAATCAGTAAAGCAATTGACAGACAGCTCCTGAATCAATCTTGACTAATTTCTCTTGAGAAGTGAAATGCTGTTCTGTTCAATATTTTCTTAGCAGAAAAGAACTGATTGCCTCATCTTAAGATAAAGATATTGCATTTTTGCCATAAAACTAGGCAACTATTTTATGTTACGACTTAATACAAAGATCGAAGAAAAGTTGATATATTTGTGTGATCAGTTCAGTTGAAATGAAGAGAACTACACTGAATGGTTGCTGCTTATGAAATTGAAGTGATGATTTGTTTTAAATCTGTAACATTATTGTAAAATTATTTTGGCAAATAGCTTAAACCTCATTCCATTTTGAGTTGGCACTCTTCCAAATTTTATTCTTGAGACCCGATGAAAGGATTTTAAAAACAGGTAGTCTATCAATAATTGGGTTGACACAGTAAAATGTAAATGATAGGAGATTATACTCACTTACTCAGATATAATAATACTTGCATTTGATATAGTGCTTTATCATATCATTGAGACATCTCAAAGCGCTTCACAGGATATACTGTAAATAATAATAATAATCCTTGGATTTGATATAACATCTTATCACTTCATTGGAAGTACTTCACAAGATATATTGAAAGCAGAGGACTGCGTATTGTGTGGGCGAAATGTGGCAGCTAGTTGCGCACACCATGTCCCGCAAACAGCTATGGAGTAAGTGTCCAATTTTATTTTGGGGATTTTTGACCAAGACGCTGGGAGAAACTCCCTTCTCTTTTTGAAGAGTGCCGTGGAATCTTAAACGTCTACCTGAACAGGCAGATGGGACCCTGGTTTAATATCTCATCTGAAGCACGTAAGGTAAAATGGATTGACTGTGTCTTTTGTGGGCTCACAGATTATTCATATATACTCACACCTAACACCACATTATTTCATTAGTGACCTGAAAAATTCATGTTTTAAAAATGAAACGATGAAGCGAAATTTGCAATTTATGACGCGTTCATTAACATATTGTTGATAAATATGATTGAAAGTCATTAATAAGACTTTCAGTGAGCATAATAGTTAATGGCATATGGGCACGGCTCTGAATTTTCTTTTTGAATACATTGGTATCCTGTAAATCATTCTCCAGTTGCTATGCTCCATGTGCTTGCAATGGTGGCTTTGTGATTAGCCTCTCTCACTGGATGAGGTGAGGGGTCACACCCACACAGAAGTCCTATTATCGACTATCTCTCAATCACATTTATCAAAGATGTGGTTATTATCTCAAGTGATAAGATAATTAACAAAATATACTGCAACGTTTATGATAATATCTTTGGTGTATTCGGCAAACAACCATGATATTTTGCTCTAGATAACAGATTGAGCTGATTACACTGTGTTTTTAAACATTTTGCATTGGTTTCCGCCTTGTGCAGTCTCTCCACGTTTTTGAGTCCCACCTGAAAGCCTTCCTTTTCGACCATACTTAAGGTCACTTCCCACCCCCCACCGCCCTCACCCCCTCACCGCTCCCCCCCCCCCCCCATCCCCCCCAGCTCGAGTCAGGCTCTGCCACTGTTAAGCGCTCACCCTGCTGGAAGGCGCTATATAAGTGCAAGTTGGTGTTTTAGATTTTTGATGGAAAGCTTACTTAATTTTACTTTTTGTTTGCTCCAAATCGAATAGCCTTGATGACGTCATTAGTTCAACAAGTAAGATTGCAGCTAGAAACTCTCTCACGCCAGTGTGTTAATATATTTTCTGTACCTGTACAAATAGTAAACCTTGCATTTGATACAGTGTCATCACATCATTGGAAACATCTCATAGGATACACTGCAAAGTGTGGTGACTGTGTATTTTTACAGGTAAATGTATTAGCCAATGTGTGTATAGCAATCTCCCACAAACAGCCATGAATTGATTGTTGGCCAAGACTCCCTTCTCTGTTCAAAGGATCTCTAACATCCACCTGAGCAGGTAGACAAGACCTTAGCTTATCTCATTGGAAGAGCACCAACTCTTGCCAATGCAGCCCCCAACACAGTCAGGCTGACACACAAAGGTGGACAGGTACAGAAACAGTGGATTGCTACTGACATTGCTGTTACACTTACCTGCTGAATGGGTTCAATTGAAGCTTCATGATGTAGAACTGATGATGTGCAATCCGCCAAATCCTGCCACACAGTTTCATCTATAGTCACGAATGCTAAAAGCAAAGCGGTGCGAGGTTTACAGGAGAGTAGCAATGTGTGTTGATGAACAGCTCTCTGTCCATGATTTATAACAACATGCAATGACTGTACCTGGGTTTGCTGCAATCCCCGTTACCTCGGAAAGAACGGTCACCTGCAAGTCGCTTGTTCTGTGTGACTTGTGTTGATCTTTCTGTACAGCACAGCAGAGTATAATAGAGATGCAGAGTCAGTATGTCAGTTGCAGACAACATATACAATACTGCTCAGGTTGTAAGGTTGTACATATCTAAGGATGAAACTCTGAACCTTGCACAACTACAAAAATGTTAAATAGGTAGAATGCAAAGGAGCCAACAGTTCAATAAAGTGTCCTATCATCAGAACTTCACTAACAATGTGAAGAGCGTAGACAGGAAGCTCCAGTGATGTGTCAAGTCGAGATAAGAGACTGATATTAACCCAAAGCTATGATACTGTAACAGTTTACATCTGTTCAAACGACTTGAATTTATATTAAAATAAATGTTCCGATCAAATTACCGATCCTTTAGTGATTGCACGTCGACATTTATTTGCACAATAACATTAAATATGACTTGAAATGTGTAAACCTCAATAAATGGCCATCAATGTTTAACCTCTCTCGTTAAGCAACGGCCAGAAGCCATAACTCAACGAAGTAGAAATATTTACCTTCTTTTCAAATTTCGGGTGCTTCTTGTCTGATATTTGACTGGGCAGATGCACCATCCTATTGGGATAACTTTCTCCGAATACCTTCCTTCCATTCTGCATCCCCACTGACTTTTGAACCAAAAATAAAACCACCTGCACTGCACTGCACTGCACTGTGTTCACCATCAAAGTGCAGACGCGGTGCCTCTGAACGTCTTTAAGCTCAATTTCAATCCGTTGCTAATTTATCCCTTAAAAGAGTTTAAAAGCTGCGAGAAAAAAAAATGACCACCGATTGGCAAACGTGGGTCTTATACAGAGGACATGGACCGTCCCTCCACTCTCTGCCCCTTCTCTCGCTGGTCTCCAGGGAGAAGCGTCCCTGGAGATGTGGCACAGGAGCGGCAATAACCTCCAAACACAGAGGTGGCGCCTCACTCACTCACACACTCACTCACTCACACACACACACTCACACTCACACACTCACTCACTCACTCACTCACACACTCACTCACCACTCACACACACTCACTCACTCACTCACTCACACACACTCACTCACACACACACACACTCACACACACACACACACACTCTCACTCACACACTCACACACTCACTCACACACACACTCACTCACACACACTCACTCACTCACACACTCACTCACACACTCACTCACTCACTCACACACACTCACACACACAAGGACCAGGCAATCTGTGCTCGGGGAGGGCGGGAAATTTAAAGCAGCCAATTCTCCTGGGAGGGGGGGGGGGGGGGGTGGGTGGGGGGGGGGAGGGGAGGGGAACCTATTTTATTTCATCTGCTGTAACACTCGGCAATTGCGCCCTTTTCTAATTGATTGGCGCCACAACCGCACTTTTTTTTTTTTTGCCGACTCCCGCGCAGAAATGTGCAGAAATGCGGCTTTTAACTGGAACTGGAACTGGAAGAAAAAAAAAGGCGTTGAGTCCCGATCCCAGAGCTGTGCAAAAAAAAAACAGCGCCAAATCTGCTACTTTTATCTTCATGTCTCTGGGCTTCTTGTTTCATGATCACTAATGCACTGCTAAAGCTTCTCCTACTCCCACGTTGTGCTAACACCTGTTTAAGGAATCAGGTACGAATCGAATTTGGTCGGAATTATTTTCACCCAATGTCTTAATAATAATAATAATAATCCTTGCATTTGATATAGCGCTTTTCACGTCTTCAGGACGTCCCAAAGCGCTTCACAGGATACACTGTAAAGTGAATTGATCGCCTTCACCTCTCTTAATGTTTGTTGGGCTTAAACTGCGCTCGTTTGTGGATCATTGAAAGCGACGAAATGAAACCGAATCAGTTGCTGTAATTTGATGTCAATAAAAAATAAAGACTGGATTTATGCAGTTGTGTGAAAGATTTCTAGAAGACCACTTAGAGGTCCTTCCCCACAAATGTACTTATATGAAATATTGTGATAAGATGATTTCCTATAGCTGTGCCGGAGTCAGTATTTCTTCAAATATATGTTAGCGTCAATTTCCATCACCCTTTTCTTGATACAATTCATGTATTGTACATCTTGATACTGATTCCCGTGAAATTTTAATCGATAAACTCCAGGAGTCCTCACTCCAAAGCACATTCTGGGGTCCCTTTGCCTCGGGTCTTGCAACTTGTACCTAAACTCTATGGGATTCAAACAATTCAAACAGAAATATCCACAGATATATTAAACTCTCAGTACTTTGGCGTGGATACTGTTAAGCACGACGATGGGTCGCTTAATACCCACATCAGATACCAAGCTAAACAGAAGTAATACGCTGCTGGGGAATCGTGACCCCAATTAAGGGCCCCCAATTTCACTGCTTTAAGAAAAGATATGCTGAAAAATGTATAATAACCAACCTAATGCATTCTTCCCCCATTTATAATATACAAACATTTATAATAATAATCCTTGTATTTGATGTGGTGCCTTATGGTGTTGGGGTATCTCAAAGGCCGAAGAGCTTCATAAGATTTTTACTTTGAAGTGTCATGACTTTGTACACTTTGTAGATGAATCTGGCAGCCAATTTCGCACAAAGCAATGTGCCAAAAGCAGCCATGGAGTGAGCGACCAATTTTAATTGGGGGATTGTTAGCTAGTGTTCTGATGAGAATGTATGCAGGATTTATACCAATAAGAATCTGTGCAAATTGTTTTGTGCAAATATTGCCCAGATTACTGAAATCAGATTACACAGCACTTGACCCGGGAGGAGCTTCGATGAAAGGGTTTCAGTGGTGGAAGATGTTTAATAATAATCCTTGCATTTGGTATAGGGCCTTTCACACTTGGAAACTTCCCAAAGCGCTTCACAGGATATACTATAAAATGGCTGTGGCTGTGTACTTTGTGGGCAAACACAGCAATCAATTATTACAGAAATGTCCCACAAGCAGCCACAAATAGAATGATCAATTTTATTTGGGGGGTTGTTGGCCAGGACACTGGGAAACATTCCCTTCTCTTTGCAAATGGTGTCATGGGATCTTTAATGAACAGACAGAAGGGACTTTGGTTTTACATCTCATCCAAATGATGGTACCTCCAACAATGAAGCATACCCCCAGCACTGCATTAGAGTGTCAGCTCTATGAGTTCCAAGTCCTGACATGGGGCTTGAATCAACAATCTTCTATCTCAGAGGTGAGAGTGCTACCAACTGTGTCAGGCTGACACTCGATGAAATACACTTTCATCTCTGAGTTCATTTTTCTTTAAAAGAAGTGAAACTTGAAATGAGATTTGTAATAACAAGTCACGTTTATTGCAGATATACTTGAGTACATTAAATGGAAAGGTATAATTTAAACGGTTAACCACATTAATTCACTGCTCCTGGTGAATTTAGTTTCTTACAACAAATAAAATACATAAATCACCATGTACACTATTTACAGTTACAGTACTATTGTTAGACATTAAGTATCAGTGCATTAGATATGGATATTGTTTGTTCCGAATAAGGAGGTTGACTTCGAAGTGGATGTACCAATTGTTCAGACCTCAGTGACCTTTCCCCATTTTGAATTTAATCTTTCCATCATTCTTCCTTTACCTACATAAACTAAATAATACACTGTGATGTCAGGAACAGAAATAAAAGGTTCACATTTCATAAATGTAAACAAACAGTTAACATTAATCTCCATTTATTAGTGTCTCTACGCGATGTGGCGACTGATGATATTTGCTCAGATTTGATACAAGTGACTATAATTCGGACTATTCATTGATAATAATAATCCTTGCATTGGATATAGCTCCTTATCACGTTGTTGAGACATCTCAAAACGCTTCACAGGATATACTGTGAAGTGGATTGACTGTGTATTTTATGGGCTTAATCGATATGGCTTGATGGGGGGACGAAACCTCCTTGAACAACAATATCGCAGTGTTAGCAATACAGTGTGTGAGAGTGTGAATGAATCAATCGCCTTATAACTCAGCGCTGAGCTCTTCCTTGTGTGTCAGCTCCAATGTCAGGAGGGATACCAGCGACTCCTCATTCAGAGCCACCAGCAGCTTGAGTCTCTCCACACAGTCCTCCAGGGCGCAGGCTGTGTCATGGTTGGGCTGCTCACTGGTGCCTTCCTGGTGCTGAAACATGCGCTCGGCCAATCTGAGAGCAGCCATGGCCAGCAGGGAGGGAGGGTAGCCATTGAAGGAGTAATCAGCCAGGCTGAGCTGGGCGATCTGTCTGGCCAGGCCCTGGGTGCTGGCAGCCCGGGCACTGCACACCTCCTGCCCCTCCCCGCTGGCCTCGCTGTAATACTCCAGGAAGAAGTCCAGCCCTGGAGCCGCCAGCTGGAAGTTGAGTTTGATCAGGATGATGCACTCCAGGTTACGGAGCTGTTCCCCAGTGAAGGCGTCACAGCAAAGGGACAGCAGCTGTTTAACCCTAGGAGGGTAAACTTCAACCTGCAACGAGGGGGGAGAAGGTGGTTAGATGACAAATAGGGATACAATGCGATCCTGCATCCTTTGCCCACTAGTTATTCCTCCAGCTGTTTAAACCAATATTAGTCAAAATACCAGAGTTAAGTGATATCTAGGAATAGCTACTGCTGCCTTCAATGTGGATTTCAGCCCTCACACTGGGGGGAGGGAGTTGGGGGTGTGGGGGGGACAACTCCACCTTAAATAATCTGTCATATGATTGTTTAGTAGAGGGCATACTTCCAATGCTTTACCAAGTTTAAGACGCTTATTTTTGCCTGTGTTCTTGATACTTACTTACAGTGCATTTGCCATTGATGTGAAAGGCGCGAGTTGTTGATGTTTCAACTTTCCTCAAAGTACAGATTTACTCACGATAACAGTCACTACGCCATCTAGTCATTGTTAGATAATAATTATCCTAAAAGGCTTGGAGACATTTCGAGTATTGTAGGTTTTCTATAAAATGCATGCTTTATTTACGACACTTGTCATTAAAAAAAGTAACCAATAACAAATAACGTTTTGCAGCATTGGAAAAACTAAAGTCAGGCATACTGCAATTTACTGCTAAATTGGAAGATGAAAAGGATAACAACCAGGGTTAAGAAAGTACAGATATTTATTTGAGATGACTTAGCTTTGACCCCTCCCAACAGCCCCCCACCACCATCATGGCTGTGTACTTTGCCAACACCAAGTAGGATCATACATAATGAGTGGTCAGTTTATCAAGGTTTATAGAGTCTGCAAAACCTAGACATGAGAAGTAAAAAAAAGGGGTTGGTGGGGGGGGAATGTTTTGGATCCATACATTTTACTGGTTGTCGGTGGTGGTGATGGTTGTGTGTGTGCAACTCTACGCTTCCTAAACGTGGAGAGTTACTTGCCTCGCTCTCTATACCAATAATAGCCAAGAAGTTTTTTTTAAAAAAAGATCCTGTGTTGACCTGAACGAGTAATTCGTGAGGAGTGTAGGGTGGGAGGGGGGGGGTTCGTGCACACTGCACTCACTCACCTGTTTACACGCGAGGAGAAGTGAGGTGACTCCAATAAGCTGGAAGCAATCGGAAGCCACCGGTGTGGTTTGCAGGAAGCGGTCCATGATGTTCACGGTCAGGCACATTGACTCGAAGGAGAAGCCAAAGTACCTGTGCACGGGGATCAGCCAGCTGACCAGTTTGCATCTGTCTTCTGAGGTTACCTGTGAAGAGAGTGCAACAACAGGACTGATGTAAAAATAATAATAATAATAATCCTTGCATTTGATATAGTGCTTTTCACGTCTTCTAGACGTCCCAAAGAGCTTCACAGAATATACTGTAAAGTATATTTGTGGGCGAACACGGCAGCCAATTGCGCACAGCAGTGTCCCACAAACAGTGGTGGATTGAAAATGACCAATTTATTATTGTTTTGTTTTTTTGGAGTGATTATTATTAGGCTCTGTGTGTGGATGCAGAGCAGCGGTCAGACCAAAGCCACTCGGGGAGCGCCGGGTGTCACTTTTAGGATGTGCTTTTTGTGGGCAGACAAACCTATCTGTCTGCCTGTCTGTCCACAAGACAGGTGTGTCTGCCCACAGAAGCCGGGGCTGTGGGCGACCCCAAGCCAAGTAGGAGTCCTGTAGCTCAGTGGTTAGAGCACTCGAATTGCAAGCGAGACCTGAGTTCAATCCCAGGCAGAGGGCGAAACCTTGGGCAAGTTTCCTTACTCCACACAGAGCCTAATAACAATCCCTCCAAAAACCCAAAACAATAATAAATTGGTCATTTTCAATCTACGACGGTTTGTGGGACACTGCTGTGCGCAATCGGCTGCCGCGTTCGCCCACAAATATACAGTCAATTCACTTTGCAGTGTGTTCTGTGAAGCGCTTTGGGACGTCCTCCCGACGTGAAAAGCGCTATATCAAATGCGAGGATAAAAAGTTGTTGCAAACAGCGCAGCAAAGAAGCCCCGACGGTCAGCGCCGGTCTGAAGGAAAATAACGTTCTGTTTGCAAACGTATAACGCGACTCAAACAAGAACTCTTTGGGGTTGTTGTTGTTGTTGTTGTTGTCGCGTTTAAAAGTTTACAAAAGCCACGATTCTGTCATAAACTCACTGCCGAAGAGGAGGAGGAATGGAGGGGAGAGAGGAATGGAGGGGAGGGAGGGGGGGGGGGGAGGGGGGGGGTTGATGTCTAAGAGTTGCTAATACAATAATAGTATAACAACGATAATAAAAATAAGTATAATAACGTTTCTGTAGAGCAACGACTATCGCTGTGTCTATAACGTTACCAGAAAGGCGCTCTCTCGTTTTCTCTTCCTCTCTCTCTCTTTCTCTCTCTCTCACCTGTTCCCCCTCTCCCTCTCTACCTCTTCCCCTCTCCCTCTCCCCCTGTCTCTCCCCTCTCCCCCTGTCCCTCTCTCCCCCTCTCCCTGTCTCCCCCTCTCCCCCTGTCTCCCCCTCCTCTCCCCCTGTCTCCCCCTCCTCTCCCCCTGTCTCCCCCCCCTCTCCCCCTGTCTCCCCCCCCTCTCCCCCTGTCTCCCCCGTCTCCCCCTGTCTCCCCCCATCTCCCCCCCCCTGTCTCCCCCCTGTCTCCCCCCCCTCTCCCCCTGTCTCCCCCCCCTCTCCCCCTGTCTCCCCCTGTCCCCCCCCTCACGCCCCTGTCTCCCCCCCTCTGCCCCTCTCCCCCGTCTCCCCCCTCTCCCCCTGTCTCCCCCTGTCTCCCCCTGTCCCCCCCCGCCCCTGTCTCCCCCTGTCCCCCCCCCCCCTGTCCCCCCCCCTCTCCCCCTCACCTGGGGCTGCTGTGCCAGGCAGTTCCGCGGATGAAACCTCTTCTCGGACTCCCGCTTGAAGAGGAAGCACTTCTCTCCGTACTCCCTGAAGTTCTGCAGGTCCAGCCCGGTGGTCGGTCCGGGGGGCGACCACCCGGAGCCGAGAGCCGGGCTGCCCGGGTCTGCAGAGCCCGAGGGACTGGGCTGGTCCGGGCGGCTCCCGGGCTCTCCAGCCCTGGAGACCAGGTCCTGCTTCCTGTGCCGCGGGCACTTGGGCTTCTTGACGGGGGCTCTGGTGTTGGCGCTGCCGCAGGTCATCTCAGCCCTGTCCTCGGGGGTGACGTCCTCTTGGCCGGAGCCCGGGCGCTTCCTCTTGGCCGGACTGCCCCGGACCTGCCCCGGGACCGCGGGCTGTGCCACCATGGCCGCTGCAGCCCGGCACAGGGCGTACAT